CGTTGTCGTCTGCGCCATAGTGATCATTTGAAGTTAACAGGCGTTCGTCAAGATGTGGTTGACGTCAAGCAGAACTGGTAATTAGTTACAGCTATGTTAGGAACTGAGGAAAGGCAGCGAGTAAACAGCGACGTATGCAGATTTGCAAACTTCAGACTCAGTTGGATCTCAGCTGCATTTATCGTTTATGATAGTGTTCATCTGAACCTGATTCGCGAAAACCACTTCGTGTATTCGAGGAAGCTACCCATAAGAAACTACTCATAGGTAACCTGGAAAGCCCTCATCCTTTTTTAGGCCTCTCAGTTCAGCGCAGGTCCGAGTTTCCCACACACCCAAGTTCTGCTTTTACCTACATTTTTACGCATTCGACATAAAATTGACACAAACTCGGAGACTGAGCTTAAACAGCAGACGGCTGTCAAGAAAATATTCGTACCCAACTTGAGAATTTTATCTGGAACGTGTCAGGGGAAAGTCTTCCAAAGTCCTCCACATCTTCTTCGATGTGGAATTGAAGTCAATTTATGCTAAAGAGCTGAGAATCGCTGTATGGATATTTTATCCCTATTGAGAAACATCAGCACTGCGAATCTGACCAAGCTAAACGGAGTTCCGAACCCATGACCTCCAGGTTAGTGGTCTGAATAGTTAAAGACATTACAAACGAGAGATTCAGTTGGGTTTCATGTGAGTCTCCCGTCGAAACCAAATTGGTAGGCAAATGAGTGCATTTCGCTAATTTAGTACAATTTGGTTTCAAGTAGAACATAAGGTTGACGGAAACTCGGGGACTGCGCCCACCTGATGAGCCCGTTCATGGACTGTCGAACAGTTTTCAGCAACCTTATGAGTAGTGCATTACGTCTATGCAAGGAATAGTTAACCCTCTGGCCACGAGTGCTAATCAGCATTTTGACTGACCAAAGTTGTCCAAATTTGAATTCTAACTTGTTTTACTTGTTCGGGCTCACACTTTTCGACTGGAATTAGCCAAGATAGTAATTTTTCCGACCAAGTTATAAAATGATTCTTGTGAATGCAGGGAAAATGATGGGAATCCAACGGTACCGAGCTCTTGGGTGCCCAAGTATATCCACCGCCATCAGGTGGACTTGCGTTCGATTGACTGCAGTCACTTGACAGATGTTCACTCCGTCGAAACACAAATGCCTTGAGCGTGAACATACCTCAGCAACGGGTCAACAGTCTCCCAACACATTCAGCTGACAGCTGGAGCACAAAACATATCGCGTTAGTCCTTGTTGTCGGAGTCTGATTGGACGGTTTGCGCGACCTGTGGCGTCGGGTCATGTGACTGTTAATCGATTCCCGTTCGAATGCTGTTACAGAATTTCAGCACAGCATGAAAACAAAAGTATTGTGAACAGTGTGAAAATTTCTCCTCAAGTAGTCCATTCATGGTTCACATCATCAGTAGATTGGATTCACAGAGATTTCCAGAGAAAGTTGTGTGCAGTCCACATGGGCTAATTTGACCTTAATGGATTAACACTTGACTGGTGTTGACATACAACGTGCGCGCAATGCAGGGTCAAGATCGCGGGGTCCGACTGCGCTGGTGGACGTAAATTAATGACTTTGATGTCTTTCAACTATCCGCATTCTCCCCAACTGAGGATACATGGTTCCGGCAGTCCCTCGACAACCACGCGAAAGCGAAACAAGGACGTATGAAAATTTTTGCACAGAATTCCACGTGTGCGCTGCTTCCAATGGACACTTCTGTAAAAATTTCCATAAATTGAGGAGTTAATCTGATCCGTGTGGAAAGGATCAGAAATTCTCTATCGATGGGTGAACAACAATTGATGCGTTGCATATGAGGTCGCCGGTTTTTTGCAATTCTGTCTTCAGTTCAGTGTTTAGTCGGTCGTATTAGGGCTCTGTTCCTGTACGGAGCATAACATCCCGATGGATCTACGGTGACAGTGCGTGGTAATCTGATTTAGAGAACTCACTCGAGATCAAATCATAGTCGCTTACAACCCCCCTCTCCTCACTGAAATAATAGTAGATCAATAAGCTACCCGGTCGTATTGAATCGATCCTGATCATGTGACTGTCCCAAGCCTCGGAAACAAAACGAATTAAACTTAAACAGTGCCTTGGGACTAACAAAAATGTTTTTTTCTACTTATAAACTCTAGTCAGTTTACTCAGTAAAAGAAATAATCTAATATGACGCATCGACATTGCATCTGAGAAGTTGCCACACGAGGAACACTGAGAGATGCAGTTGAGTCTCTCGTGAAAATCGAATAGATTTTCAAATGTGTGTATCTGTCGAAATCAGTTCGATTTGGTTTCAACTAGAACATAAGCTTGACGGAAACTCAGGGATTTCGCCCATCTGATGAGACCCGAGAAGGCCGAAACTGGTCGTGGGCTGTCGGAGAGTTTTCGACAGCGTTGTGAGTAGTTTCCTTTATGAAAGTGTAGCGTTCAGTTCAAAACCGAAACGTCTAGGGTTTGAATCTATCAGAAGGACTTCTAAAGAGCACATTCGAGTTGCTGCCATCAAGTGCGCTTCCCTGCATGGGCTGACTTCGCCCTAAAATCCCCAAGAGATCCTCACTTTCCCTAATCTGGAATTTTGCATGGCACTGTGTTCTGTGACCTGAGAGATACGTCCTCATCAGCACACCAGCATTTCGGCTGGTTTTATCATCATCATCATCATCATCATCATCATCATCATCATCATCATCATCATCATCATCATCATCATCATCATCATCATCAGCATGACATCAGTGCTCCACTTGTGTCTATTGTAGATATCTACTTACTTCCAGCATACAGGGTCGACGACAACTCCGGACTACCCAGTACCGGCTTTACCACTCTTACGCTGGATCTGGCGGTCCCTTAAACCCCATCAACATCAAATTGTGCAAACCAACTAGGTTTTGATTGAAGACTCATTAGCATTTCAGCTAAAAGTCTCGTTTATTCGGTTGTCAATTCCGCAGCACTTTCACTTGACAGGGGACCGGAGATTTAAATGAAACTTTTCAAATGAGTAATTTTGGTAACAGTTTCTGTCGGTTGTTCAGCTGCTCTTCCAATTATTGTTGTTTTAACTTATTGTTCGCTCACACTGTGGGCTTTTCAAATTAACCAGTTTCACGCGATCACGTGCTAAGTCGATCACCTTCGGAGCTCGCTGGCTATGGGAAACAGTTGACTCAACCGAGCTCGTTATTCTGGTAATACTGCAACCATGAACAAGCACTCGTAACAGAATATCGCACATTTTTCTTGCGTGATATTTTGACACAAAATATCACCGTTGTCGCTGCAAAAGTTAGACGAAAGACAGTTATGCCGTCAGATAATTATCCATTTGCACTCGAGGTAACATGTGTTGTGGTAGACTAGGTGTACAGGAGAAAAAACGAAAACGGATCTCCATCGGTCTAAGAATAAATGCAACGTTAGTAACATACGTGCCTACACGCGATGGTCTCGCTCTGGAGGCGCGTGAAGAATGCGTTCCCGGATCACTAACAACTGCGGATCAGTTTTTCTGGACTGAACTTAATTGAACCAACTTTCCTTTCAGGCATAATCTCCGTCGAGTCGGGTTGGTTAGAACAAACGGAATTGGGGGGAGGTGTTGTGTCGTAGTGTAACAGGCCTGGTAGTGGTGGTGGCGCAAAGTCACTAGTCAATGGCACGTAGTTGGACATTGCTAATTTGACTATCAGTGTGAGGTGCAATTACCCAGTCAGTCCTCGGGACGGGGGCATCTTGAACAGTTGCTTCTGTTGCTCACAGCGGGTGATGATACTGATGTTGTTACCGGATAGAATTCGTTAGTCTGTGACCATGCTGTGAGCTGCGCAGTACTAGTGGCAAAACAGTTGAGGCATGCGCGGTTGATTGAAAAACAGGCAGTACTTACTCCTTCCGGTCGGTTCAATATCACGCACGCGTACGTACACACACACACACACACATACACACACACACAGGCGAATCTTAGAGTGGCTTCCAGCAATAAAACATTTTTGGTTCCGTAAATTTTGGAAAATATATTAGTGAGCTTGAGTTCCTCATTTGTGGCTATGCTAAAACAGGTTTTTATCGAAATTATCCAGGTTAATCGGGAAAAAACCGGACGGGATAAGGTGTGGAGTAAATTTGCAAAACAGGTGTTGTCGTTTATCTCGCACGAAGTAAACCAGCTGTTTGTAAACATGATGAGGTGGACCACTTTTTCGTGGAGCTTGGCAGAGCTCACCTTGTTTGATATCGATGAAAAGAGGGGGTGGTTGACTCAACTCATATAAACCATTTCGCCCTTTAATGATGATGTACTTTGTGCGATGTTTTTTCGAAAACCATTCTGGTGGCGATCAGCCGATCAGGTCGAACATTACAATGCGTTCGAGACCCGTCCAAACGCTCGATTCAGTAGGCCTGGTGCGTTTAGTCAGCCTTCAATGTCATCCCGCAAAGAAGGGACGTGCGTATCAAGCTACAGTACGGGCTGTTTTGTTGTTTGACTGTGAGACTGGGGCTATTCGAGCAGCGGAGCTGAGACGTTTTCAGGTGTTCGACAATCGTTGTCTCAGAGCCATAGCTCGTATGGGTTGGTGTCGGCGAATCTGTAACGAGACAGTTAGAAAGCATGTGTTTGATTGTACAACGGGAACTTCCATCGCAGAATGTGTCCAGCATCAGAAGCTGTATTACGCTTTCCGAAGAGAGTGTTGGCTTCAGTTGCCGAAGAGAGTACTGTTTTCCCTACCAAATTTAGAGTGGCGTAAACAGAGAGGTGATCAACCCTTGCCTTGGCAAAGGAGTATGAAGGAGATCGCGAGACGCTTGGGTGCTGTGGGTGTACACGCCTTCCAGGATGGGAACCGTGTGATCCTCACTGTGCCTGGTTGGAGACACCACAAGATATAGCTGCCAACCGATGTCAGTGGCGATCTTGTCGTCAGATTCTATCCAGATTGCCTGAGTGAATGTCTGGAGCGATGATCCTTGAACTGCCCCTCTCCCCGCTTATCCTCCGGTCTGGTTCCCTACAGCGGGTTCATTGGACACTGCCAGATTATGACATTACTCACGGTACGCTAACCGAGCGGAAAACGGGCGTCGGTCCAAAAGTACTTATGGTGGCTTCTCATTGGTTCACAGACAATCAGCGGATTTTCGCTGAAATCGTTCAACATCTTTTGTGCAAAAGGTACACAGCGATGGAGGAACTCTAGCGAATGATACTGGTCTGTTGCAGGATCTGTTGTACAGTTTGCAAAGAGAGTTGCTAGATTCACTGGCAGACATGCCAACCAAGACAGTTTTGAAATGGGTCACAAGAAACCCTCAGTTTCATCCATCAAGCCAACCCATCATAATGCGGGATTCTCCGTGATAGCATAACCTGTTGTTTCAGTGGATCCCACACAGAACGCGCATAGTTGTTGCCATCTCAAACTAGTCCAGCTGGTTGGTAGGCGTCTCACTCGGAGAATTTTCACGCCTATTGCTCAAGCGAATGTTCCGAATGGTATCAGGTTGGTTGTTGTTGGTGAGTTTCAAACAGATGTTTTTCACTGATACGGAGTAACTCCTGGGTGAAGCTTCAGATGGTTGCGTGATTGCAGGATTAGCCGCAGTAGCTCAGTAAGGAACCCCCAGCCTTATATATGGGAAATGAGCCTTTCGGTGGTGAGAACGTTGCCTAGCTTCAAACCGATGGGATTGTCATAACCCAGCCTCTTGACCCCGAGCTTGATGACGCATTCATACCTATGAGAAAGAACCGATTTTTTTGGGCAGTAGTGCAAATTTCGCCCCCTAAAAAAGTTATTTTTGCGGCATCACAACTCTCACTGTTGATCGACCGATACTACTTATATCATGACAAAGTAAACTCTATTGAATATTTCCGCAACTGAAACTCGAAGCTACCTGTGTGGTGCATATTATCTGGAAGAATACCTCTGTCGTACTGCCTGCCAGGGACCATCTCGATTTCCAGCAGTTAAAAGTGAAATTTCAGCTTCATCCTAGAAAGAACTTTATTTCCGAGGCTGACAAACACTCTCTGACAGCTCACTACCGTTTTCACTCTTTTGAGCAAAGCAAGTAAGTAATGTTACGTAATTTCCCGAAATCGTGCATACGCGTAATGCACGTGTGATAAGGTTGCTGAAAACTCTTGAACAGTAAACTAACGGTTTCACCCTTCTCGGGGCTCATCAGGTAGGAGCAGTCCCCGAGTTTCCGTCAACCTTATGTTCTACTTGAAATCAAATTGGACTGTTTTCGAGAAATACACTCATTTCCAAATCAATTTGGTTTTCACGTGAAACTCAGGTGAATCTCTCGTTTACGACGTCGCTAAGCAACTGAATATGCTGCACCAGGCAGCGTAATTTTTTAGTCCGTACGATATTCGAGATATCGCGATGCATTGTATAGGCTTAATACACTACTCATATGGTGGCTGGAAATCGCTGGACATCCCACGACCGGTTTCGTCCTTCTCGTGTTTCATCAGTTAGGCGCATTCCCAGAGTCTCCATCATTATTATGTTCTACTTGAACATAAATTGCACGGTTTTAGCGAAATACACTCTTTTTCAAACAAATTTGGTTGCGCGTGAGGGCCACCTGAAACCCAGCTGAATCTCTCGTTTATGCCGACATGAGACATCCGATTAGAGGCCATCCAGTTGATTATACTCGTCGTTCAAAATTTAGGCGTTTGTGGAGCTACCTGACGAAACTTCTGGCTGGTGGAGTACTCGGTGAACACAATCAAGACAGATACTGGGTGGTCGTTTGAGGCGGCGGGGGGAAAACAGTCACATCGCTCAAGATTCAACACGTCCGTTGTTCAGTACTGATAATTTGGGCGCTTTCAAAGTGCGATTTACACTATCCTCATTGCGTCGACCGACTGCCTCACCGGTCAGAAGTTCCGTCGGTTATCGTCCCAGTCGGACATCCGGGGTTCGAACCCGGGCGCCCTCTAAGCTATGTATCTACGAATTGCTCTAACAAGGGAGGAACTCGAGTCGAGTGTTTTTCCCCTTTGATGTGGACTGACCAAAATAACGGTGACTGGACAAAAAGAAGGACTGTTTCTAAAAATCTCGCATCCATCTTCAACTAAATCAAGCCATTTTATGGAACGTGGCACTCATAAACTTTTGAAACTTCTTCGATAGCCCACGACTATTTTTCCGGCAACCCTCGGATTTCTTTCAACTGTGTGTTCTTTTTGAACTCAGATTGCAATCAGTTTGCCAAATTCCATTGGTTGGAAGTTGATTTGGTTTTACCGTGCGACCTAGCTGGATCCCATATGAATTTCAGCAACCTTGGAAGTAGTGTGTGTTCTATCATGAAATTATACAGTCATATATATCATGTTGCTCCAACCAAAATATGAATTGGTCTATGTGGAACACATTTGATTAGAGAAAGACATATAAGATGGATTCAGCTGAGTTTTACGATAAAAAACCCCGATCGATCTTTCGGAATTCAAATTTCTGTGAGATACCCACGAATCTAGAGTGTCGGGATATGCATAGAAGGGCTTCAGTGATGGGGTCAAATCCACATTGAGGTTCATCTAATATTCCGTTTTGGAACAGTCAGCTAAGACAAACTCTTTGTAGTGTTCACACGTGAAACTGAACAGAATGTTAAAACCAGCCGTTTGTTTACTCCTCATTTGAGAGGAATCAAGGTCGTTTTGAGCACACCAGCGTGGCAGTGTATGGACAAGTTTCGTACCGAAGTTACTTAGACCGAACGGCAGAAATATGCCTCAACGGGAGACTGAAAGAATATCGACCACCCATCGTAAAAAGTTCACCCGGCAAGAACGTAAAAACAGACATTTTATGAAACCAGGTTACACACAATCTTCACGTGCTGCTCTAGGACAAGAAATCGATTGAAAATCGACTGCCCCGATTTGCCAGTCTTAGGTGTCACTACCAGTGTCCTCGATCATATGGGGCCCGACGATTCATCTGGAGACATTTCACCTCTGTTGGTAAAAGGTCTTTTACAGCACAAGAAGGGTCGTCTTATGTAGCAAGTGGATACTAGTGAAGGGTCGAGAGGCCTTCGCTGCGGAATTGTTTATCAGCAAACTAACTAAGCAGTTATAGGACAGGTAAGTAAAGGTCTCATATTCACATAGTTTTTAAAAATTGGACATTCCCGCGCGACTTCTTGAACTTTCTTGGATATTAGCTGGCTACTGCACACATGCTAACTGCAAAGCAATTTCACAGAATCTGTAATAAATTCACCTTCCATTAGACGCGGGGCGGAGCTTCGACACTAGTACAGACCACTCGCATGCCCCATCAAGAGTGTACTCCGTTACACTGATAATGTCCCTGTTGTCATTCACGAGGCCAGTCAATGATTTCGGATACCGCCCTCAACGTATAGCCATCCCCGCACTGTCCACAACGTCATCGGGGAACCAAACGCTGGCAGCTATAACCACTGTATAATAGGCACGAGATGATGATGATGAGGACGGCGATGATTGGATGACGATGATGATGATGATGATGATGATGATGATGACGTCTCACCCAGTTGAATCTGTCGTTTGTGATGTTTCCAGGCAGCTGAATGTGCTGCACCAGAGCGGCTCATGTTTCAGTCGCTACGATATTCAAAATATCGCAATACATATATATTTTTGGATCGCACTACTCATAAGGTTGCTGAAAACTCCTCGAAAGGTCACGACGGATTTTGCCCTTCTTGGGGCTCATGAGGTAGGTACAGTTCTCGAGTTTCCGTCAAGCTTGTGTTTTACTTGAAACATGAGCTTTCGAGGAGTTTTCAGCAACGTTATGAGTAGTGCGTTACAAAAATGTACATGAAAGTTTTTAAAGGGGAAACCGCGCTATTTGTCCCATGAATAACCGAATCCAGCCAACTGTGGCGCTCTCTGAGACCTACTTTTCGAGACAGTATCTTTTGAAGTCTATCCAGCTCGACAAAACTGATGACTAAGCTAGCCTTACGTCCTTTTAGTGAAGCCAGACTATGGTGAAAAGCCGAGAAGCACTGTACAGCGACTTCATTCTTATTTGGAGATCATCGTCACTACGCCGGTCACGAGTCTTCACAGTGATTCGAATCTGCGATCTCCTGGCTCGTGTTTGACACTAAGGGGTCCGGTCATGTGCCGTTTGGCAGTGCGATTCACTGCATGGAGTTTCACGTGATGATCGCTGGTCACGATGAGACAGCCCTGCAGTGCTTCTCGAATTTTCAGCGTAGATTGGCTTCACTTATAGGATGAAATTCCCCAAGCCGACCACCGGTAATCTTACGTTCCCGGTCAGTGCGTGGATTGCGTGATCAACATTGTGCCAATCAGCCTTTGTTTTACTACACTGAGGGTACTTGAATCAGCCTGTTGACCAAACATTGCTTGTTGTATTACCCATCTGGCGTGTGATGGTTCTCAAATGTACCGTTGATGTTTTTCTCCGCACTGTCTGTTGCTACCCAAGGGTTTACCAACCAAATCTTTCGTAATGGCAACCCCCGACGTCTGTTCCCACCACCACCACAACAGAGCAGGTTTTGTAAACACTTCCGAACATGTTGCTGATGTCCGTGATAAACTTTTACGGCCACTCAACTACCAATTAAGCTGAGAACATTGACTGGAATACTTTACTATCGTTTTGCGGTTTATGTGGCCGAAAGTTCACAGCGGACAAAGTTGGGAAAGAAACCAGCACTTGTTTTTACCATACTGTTTGGGGGATAATGTTGCCCAACCCCGGGTGTACAAAGGTAACCTCTCAAGTGTGAACGTGTGTGTGTGTGTGCGCGCGCGCACCCAGCCCATCTGGGCTGGACAAATCAGCGTGTTCTGTGTGAAACTGTGCTTGCCTCCGTACGTGCTCGCGTGCATTCACACACGCGGACATGTCGGCAAGAACGGACCACAGTGGACCGATTGTGCACCTGCAAGCCCATTACGACTGTGCCGTTCAATTTCCTTGTGCTGTTCGTGGTGACTTCATCTCGCGTATTTAACTCAAAAAGCCAAACTCCGCTGAACCAATTCGGTCAGCGCTGCCTCGACTGACAGGAGTTTTGTGATTGAGTCAACTGCTCGACTGTGTCGTTGAATGCGCGAACTCAATGTTTGGAATTGAACTGTTGCACCTGTTTCTGACTGGTTTGATTTGTCTACAGCCCGGAGTACTCAGGTTGACGGCTGCGTTGGAAGGCGAACACGATGCTCATGTTCCAAGTAAGTTGGCTACACAGCGAGGCCAGGCAGTATTTCCCATCAGTCGTTTAAAGGACAGTCATTTCATTCTTTCAACAAAATGTAACCGCTGTCTCAATAGGAAATCTTTTATAAGTGTATGTAGGGGTGATTGCAGCCCGCTGAAACCAGGCCACTGTTTTGTCAAACTCGGGGTTCATTAGACAAATGTGGTCATCGAAATCGAGTAGGCTTGAATACCAACTTTGCCTCAGTCGTAGATTATGAGTTAACGTGAGACAGAAAAGAACCCAGATTAAATAGAGCGTTTTGATCGGTATCTGAAATTTCGGAGTACTTTTCTGTACTACTCATCAGTTGATGTAAGCGTATCGACTACCCCCCACCTCGATCTTGTTCTGTTACATCTCATCAGGTGTGCGTGGACCCCACCCCAATTTCCGTCATTCATATCTTCGAGTTTGAGAAATATGGAGGGTTAAGCGCTCAACTGAGAAATGAATTGATGTTTATCTGAGGCTTGGAGATATTCTCGCTTGCGATGTTTTTTAACTGGTCACGCAGCATCGGAGATGTCTTAGAGTTCAACTGAGCCAATATGCATGATCTCAAACTCCATCAGTTCAATCGAAACACATCAGTGTCTCACTTCAGAAACAGCCTTTTTGCAAAAGGGCCATCTGTCAAAACTCTGGGATGTCTTTTAAATTTGAAAAGAAAATATGATATTTTGTTGGTTTTGGGATCATTTCGGCGTTGTTTTATTTGCTCACGCTTAGTTTTCCCAAGCGAGATTGCCCTCCGAGCAGAATTAGTTCACCCAACTAGTGTGGCTTGATATTGATCCGTTTTGAGGGAGCACCAATCAGCTGCCGAAAGAGGCCCCCCTCAATAGCTCAACGATGATCAAGATGTGATGTGTATTCATAAAGCTAGCACGCATTTCGATCATAAAAAAATTTCCAAATTTTAATTTACACGAAAATGGGGGTTCTGTCCTAACCAAATGTGAGACCATCCTGTTGTGTACTTACCAAGAGACAAAGTGTCAAAGTACAGCAACATTGGTGTACTTCCGAAGGTGACCGTTGGACAGAAGGTGACGATAGTGCAAACGGTTGCTATCGGAACATCGATTAGAAGCCATCTGTTGAACGTTTATCTCGCCAAAAAGAGATCAACGTACACTTGTCCGGTTCGAGGGAACCATCTCAATGGATCACCCGAACGCTGTCTCTTTCAAAGTTGGTCTCTTATGACAGTCAGATGGTCTCCAAAAGCTTCTCTGAGGGGTGCCCAAAGAGACCATCCTCCAGCTCTCACTATGGTAAGATTGTCGATTCAAAATGTCACTGAAAATTCGAAAGTTCACAGATGGGCTGTCGACGGATTTTCAGCAGCCTTATGAGTAGTGCATTACAAATATATATATATATATACATGTATCACGATATCTCGAATATCGTAGCGACTGAAACATGGTGCAGCACATTCAGTTGCATCCTAAACGAGAGATTCACCTGGGTTCCAGGTGAGTCTCTTTCGAAAAATCAAATTAGTTTGCAGAGGAGTGTATTTCGCTAATTTGGTGAAATTTGGTTTCAAGTAGAACATAAGGTTGATGGAAACTCGGCGATTGCGCCTACCTGATGAGCCCAAAAGAAGAGCGAAGCCGGTCGTGGGCTATGGAAAACATTTCAGCAACCTCAAGTATACTTGTCTGACGTGTAAATGGGCGTTCTGGTGTTTTTGAACATCATTTGCCGCTTACTTTTGTGAGTGAATTTATCCTATACTCGGCCAGGAGTACAATAAACTATTGACAAGACCAACTCATGGCCTTTATGGACATCTTGTTCCTTGAGAGATCACATTCAGCAGTACAGGATATCTTGATGTGATTGACATCAATCGGTTTATCTGATTAGCTGGAACGAATTTAAGCTTTTGAATTTCGGCTTCAAAAGCCGGACAACCTTGTGACACAATAGATCTGACTAACTTCATATCACAAGGCTACAAACACCTGATGAAGGGAGAACTCAATAAACAACAATACAGAATACAGTGGAAAAATACAGTCGAATTAATCAGATGATTAGTTAATTAATTATAAATTGTTTAATTAATAATAACAGAACAATTTTATACGACAATTCAAAATAATTAAGGTATGTCAATATTCGTACTATACTCGGTTCATACTATAGAATACAATAATGAGTTCAAACCGCGCGGGACAATGTGCTCTAGATGGCGTAGTCCTGTTTTCATGTGTGCGTGAATCTCTTGTTTTTGAGAAGCCCGAAAAAGTCGACCGTAGGCGGTCGAGCAGTTTGCAGCAATCTTGTGAGCAGTTCCCTTCAAGAAAGTGGGCAATCAGACAAGAATGGCTTTCGACTAGAACACTTTGCATATCAGTTTGGTTTTCTTGAGAGACTCAACTGAATCTCTCGTTTATGACGTCTACAAGTGAACGTGCTGCACACAGGCCGCCTCATGTTCCAGTTGGCATGATATTCCAGAGATGGCAGTATAAGTTCATGAAAGAAACTACTCACAAGGTTGCTGGAATCTCTTCGACGGCCCACGACAGATTTCAAACTTATCGGAGCTAGGCGCAGTCCCCGAGTTTCCGTCAAACTTATGTTCTACTTGAACCCAAACTGGACTGATTTCGACAGTTACACTCATTTGCTAGACAATTTCGTTTTCAGTAACCTTGTGAGTAGTTTCTTTCATGAACTTATATTGCGATCTCTGGAATATCATGCCAACTGGAACATGAGGCGGCCTGTGTGCAGCACATTCAGTTGCCTAAGAACATCATAAACAAGATAATTAGCTCGATTCAGTTCACCTTTTCGTTAAAGTAAATTCGTTTGGAATGGCATGCATTTTACGAGTACCGTAGGTCGTCTGTCAGCTCGAAAACAGGACCTTTAAGGGTGTGCAAGTTCGCAAAAATGCTAACATTTGCAGATATCGTGTGAATTGGAGTTGAGAGAGCACTGGAAACGCTGATAATGTCGCACTGCTTGACCAGGATCCTTTAACCATTCTGCGAACATTTAAGGAGCTGAAATCCATCAAAGCCTGATACATTGGGGTTTTTCTTCATCAATGATCCGAGATCAGACGACCAGTGGTTGGTTCGTTTTTTAGTCAAGACATTTGGGTTTCCACGGCTTCATCATCAGTCGAACTGACATTCTTGGTGCGACGTCTTGGAGTGGAGTCTTAGTTTGCCGGAAACCCACCGAGAAGGGAACGTTTGCAACCAAATTGCTCGCTGAATGGACCGTCGGACCACCAACAGACTAGGTTGCGATGAAATATCCATTGGTACCGAAACAGTGGGCAAATTTTCTGAGGAGTACCCATCGAAATTTGACCTTCAAAACTAAATTACGCTCGACAATCGAAAGGCAAAGTCTGAGCACGGGGAACATCGGTGAGTAGAACGCATCAGAGGGTGGACACTGGCTGCCGACCTTCAATCTACTGAAGCCCCGAGTCTCAACCGTTGCTAAACATTCATTCGACCTGACTGGTGATGAAAAGATAAAAAGTGTTTTCGAGAAATACACTCATTTGCAAATCAATTTGGTTTTCACGAGAGACTCAACTGAAACTCAGGGACTGCGCCTACCTGATGAGCCCCAAGAAGGAAGAAACTGGTTGTGGGCTGTCGAGCAGTTTTCAGCAACTCTGTGAGTAGTTTCCTTTGTGAAAATATACTGCGATATCTCGAATATCGTGCCGACTGAAACGTGAGGCGGCCTGTGTGCAACACATTCAGTTGTAGAATATCACAAACGAGAGATTCACTTCAGTCTCTCATGAAGACCCAATTGATTTGCAAATGAGTGTATTTCTCAAAAACAGTCCGATTTGGGTTCGAGTAGGACATAAGGTTGACGGAAAATTGGGGACTGCCCCTACCTGATGAGCCCCAAGAAGGGTGAGACCGGTCTTGGGCTGTTGAGGTTGACGGAAACCCGGGGACTGCGCCTAGCTGATGAGCCCCAAGAAGGACGAAACCGGTCGTGGGTTGTCGAAGAGCTTCCAGCAACCTTGTGAGTAGTTTCAGAAAGGTTCACAAAAAATCTGATAATCACTGGGTCTGAAGTATGGGCCCCAAAAAGCCCAGCCAAAACAGGCTTTTCTTTCTGGTTACAAATCAGCAGATGGACGTAGATGGAGAGATCGTTGAAATCTGATCCTTGATATCTAGCGCTTATGCAAGACTTGAACGTCTGGTTTATGGAGTGACGTCATTAAGGTTTTTCACTTCTCCTGCTTGCAGTCTCATTCGAACAGTTGTCTTCCTGTCCTGGAGCAATTGTTCTTGATATCGTGAGTTGAAACACCCGTAGAGGCGAGGAAATACACTGCTTATGATTCTTGATAGGTGCGAAGCTCGAATGCAGTGATTCTCCCTTTTGTTATGGACTTCACAGTGCAATAGCTCCGTGACTGTTCAAATGAGAGTGATGTAAATCTGAATCGTAGAAGCAAAAGGCAAAACTGAAATTAAAGCTAAACAGATACCTTGTGTGATTTCTATCTAAAGACGAAAAAATCACAGCTTGAATCATCGTTGCCTTCGTTGATGTTCTCCTGCCATAAAAGGTGTCACTAACGCTCCTGCTGTCAGGTTCTATCTAGATTGTCTGAGTCCGTCTTTGGAGCCTCGGACGACCTTGAATCGTTGAGACAGACAAGCTCGAGACCATTTTCACTTGTTGTCTGCCACTTTGATAGTAAAGTTTTGTTCAAGTGATCCCGTAAGCATACTACTGTCAGCAAAACAGTAGACTACGAAGGGCTTTGTAAAATTCTACCCCACGGCTACTTCGCCGCGACTGCGTTTTTTTTCAACAAGCAATTTGGGAATCGATGGCCCGAGCGAGTAATATGCTATGAGACGGTAAAATAATGCTGATAAATTTACAGTCACAGGCTGTCGAAGAGTAGTCTACATCAAGAATGGTCGACAGAAAGAGGAATATAAGTTGCACATCTGCCCATTCTAGAATGGAGGAATGTTTGGCAATCTTCACGACTACTGAAGCTCCTTGAGGTCAACATTTGTCCCCGGACTTTTTTCCCAGATTCCGAACCGTTCGGAAACATTTCCCATGTAGTTTGATGACTGTGCTGTGTACCCTGGAAACAATTTATGTATACACTTCAAAGTTGGAACTCGGGTCGATTTTTGAGTACTTTTGCAATTTGACGGACGTGCTGCTATCGATCCTCGTATCTCACGATCCACCACAGGGATAGAACCAAAAATACTTCTGTATGTATTTTCATACCTGTTACTAAAATTGCAATGTCATCCCAACTGGTAACCGGCGAAAAATGCTCATCTTTTCAATCCATACTTTATCCTTCAGAGGATCTTTCGCCTGGAAGGGTTATTCTCCCAGAAAACTGACTAAGGTTGGTTCACCTAAGCTTACTTCAATGGAACTTCCCCTCCGGGAGAGACCTAGTTCCGATAAACCCTTTCGGATGATCTCGGGGGAATAGAATAGCACTTGCTTCTTACAGGAAGTTTTTATTCTAAGGTAGGATAGTGATCAATACAGCTCAGTATTTCAAGTGTAAATACGCTGACTTCAGGTTGGAGAATGTCAGGGTCACGTGCAAAACCAAAGTTTTTTTAAAGAAAATCCAGTCCCCTGAGTGCTGTTCAGTGTTGTTTTGTCCTTGCCTGGGAACTAATTAGAGAGATGACCTTGGGCAATTCCCAGGAAGGCTTCATCCTGTCATTGAAGACAGTCTATGTTGCAAGGCCGAGAAATACTGTGCAGCTGATTCATTCCTGGTGGGAATCACCAGTAGGAATTCCAGAACCCGCGACCTCCAGGCCAGTTTGGTTTGAGCAACTAACCTTCCGGCCAATCAACAGTGTGGTTAGCTTGCACTTAGACAGGGTTCCACGTAGATAAACGAATTAAATTTCATGGATCTTTTCCTCTCCACCCACAGCCCCCCTACCATCGGAATGTGAAAATGACAATCCACTCGGGATGATCTCCGGAACGATTGCCAACTGGCAAATCACCGCCTCTTCGACCTATCCATCGAGTTGGGCCAAGGGCTGTTCCGAACACAATGCCCGCCCCTTCCGCCCCAACGGACTGGCCTGGTGCGCTAAATTTAAATCCTCGTCTGAATGGCTTCAAATCGATTTGGGAGTTCGAGCATTGGTGAGATTAACTATCGTAGCATCATATAAGCAAAATTTGTGCAATTCGTATTTGCTACCCGATGCGGTCACTCCGCAATCTAAGGTATTAAGAAATGTGTTCTTAATTGGACCCTTTTCGTTTTCCATCTGCAGTACTTTCCTTCCTCGTTAGCTTCAGATAGCCCTTTACAGAGACAAAGGAAGATTATTACAACTGTGTTTTTAGGGTAATCATAGAATGTTTCACAAGATCGTGCCAGAATCGCTGTGAGAGGCGAGGAGCGTCGAGCTAAAGATGTTCGAACCAGATTGGCTGGTATTCTGACCAATCAGGGTATGCCTTCGTTTGGTCCGTGGCCCGCACGTGACACATCCGCCCAATTGATGCGCTGTTCGGTCATTAGGAATGACTGGCCTCCGGACAACTATTCATAAAGTTGCTGAAAACACTGGCTAGTCAACTATCGTTTACGCAACTCTTGGGGGTCCGTTTGGTCCCCCACCAGCTTAGTTCCTTACTAAAGAGTGGTATAAATGAGAAATTGAGGTGACCTTCAGCTTGAGTTTCAAATCACATCGATCAGTTGTTTTCCTATCTGGTTTTATTCAAACAAACAACACTAAGCTTGAAGAGTCGTTGCAAAAACCTATTCTTGTGTTGAAACAATGTGGGCTGTCAGACGTATCGAGTTATTGCGCGCTGCTTCATTCTACCCCTCAGTCGATAGTCCAGTCGTTGACTACTGACCATCACACAGGGTTACATTATAGGTTGTCGTAACACCTTTTCGGTGCCTAGCTGTCACGCCACCCAAACAAAGCATGAGGGATGGGACACTGCGAGGTTGCCCAGGCCTAGACAGGGGAAGTCGAGAGGCAGAGGTCGGGTTCGAGCCATGGACCTTCCGATCAGTAAATTCTCGTTCAAACCACTGAGCCATGTCGCCCATTTTAAAAGACATTCTCACTTCGATTTTCTCTCCTGGCGGAATAAATTGGACATTTAAATAACCGGAAAGTGGCTCTGAATGGTCATCTTGGGTAACATTACGTCGCTCCATACTTGTCTTCTTGATGAAATGTCATCGAGAAACAGAGATCAGTACTTTTGTCCTCAGCTTCCAAACTCCACAGAGTAGATTACATTCGAACAGGTCTGTTGCTTACTCAGTTTACAGAGTAGCTGGGTGGAAAAGATCTGACTGCTGAATCTGTTTTTCTCTTGTTTCACAATGCAGGCAGTGGGTGGATACTTAGGTGTGACAGATGGGTAAAGAATCGGTCCAAAACCCCATCGGGACCCTTGAAACTACTTTAGGATACAAAAGTCATCCGAAACTCTGGGCATTTTGGTGACCCAGCTTCGTGTTAGGTCTATTGATCGTGTTGCTGGACTCAACCACATCCAAGCGTCTTTGAGTCCGGACTACTGATACAATGGAATTAGACATGCAATTAGACAGCGAACGAAGAAGCTGTTATCTCTTGGTGACGGTAGATGAGGTTTTCAGCATCGGTTCTTTTGCAAAGTTGAGAAGACTGCCCAATGGAAGTGAAGACATAGCTCTCAGAATTATCACTCCTTTGGTGGTAGCGAGGCGTTCAACAACTGGTCGACATTCAAGCAGGCATTCTGTGGAGGGGGGGACAATGAGGGCGATGATACACATTGAAAAGGGACTTTAGCAACTGCATTCTATTAGGATTAATTCATACAGGAGACCGGAAAAGTGGCACTTTTGGGAACCTGGTGCTTTTAACGTCCTATTTACTTACATGATCATCAGAGTAGTCTTTCGTGAACAGTCCGGGGAGGGAGAAACAGTTTGAAGGTCAGATTCGCTATGAAACCCCAAATACGAACTCGAGATCCCTGCGGTATTCAGAACCTAAGGGCATAGAATCCGATTGATGGAACTTCGAGGAAAGTAAAAGTGTGAGTTTCCATGGTGATTGAGATTGATGTCTCGGCTACTTTGCCATGGAGGTTCTGAGAGAGAGTGTCAACTGAAAGGCTACTGAAATGGTCGCGAAATTACCTCCGTTGGACGATGTAGGCTTCCACATACTAAGCATTTGGAACATTGAGTGTCGAGGAACATCGTTGAGACCAACCCATGTAAGCAATAAGTCCAAAAGCGTTGTGCAGCTCCTTCATCCTTATTGGGAAACACGAGCAGTGCACATCTCACGAAACTCCGGTAGTGAGTTTTGAACGTGGGACCTTCCAGCCACTGGCTGGACATCATCATCATCATCAGCAGCTCCTTCTTATTGGGAAACACGAGCAGTGCACATCTCACGAAACTCCGGTAGTGAGTTTTGAACGTGGGACCTTCCAGCCACTGGCTGGCTGGCATCATCATCATCATCGTCGTCATTCTCAGCCGTAAAACTGCGGACTTGTCATACAGTGGTTGTAGCTGCCACAGGATCGTTCACCGGTGATTCGGGGAGGTGGGGCAGGTAACTGTGCATTGGAGGCGGGAGCTGATAAATTAGTACATAAATACAGAACCGTGGGTGGACTGTTAAGTGAGGGAATTGGGAGGGGAGCCTTACATTTAAGGCAATAGCTTAGATGCACGAGCACCCTTGAGGGCGCGACTGGGCCATGTCTGAAAATGTCTCTAACCATTGATGTGGCTCGTCTCGGGGTCCCTATCCAGAAAGACGGCAATGAACAGCGCAGCTGAGTTTGCTGGTAATGACCTTCAATGGTGTCATT